ATTTTATGGTTTTTTGAGCCAAAATGATTCTCTCTCTTCTTTCTCTTAGGGTTTTATTAGGGTTTTTAGGGGAAAAACCCCAACCTAAACCCAAAAAAACCCTTTAAGGCCTTAACCCTTCTGAGGTCATCGCAATGCTTCTGTTGAAGCAGTCGGATTTACCCTTGTCTGCTCCGGTTCTGAGATGGTTGTTCGCACAGCGAACGGAAACCCTAAACTAACAACCCTAAACTAAAACCCTAAACCCACGGGCGCACCACAGCATCGAAATCGTCGAAGCGAGGGTCGTTGATGAAGAGCTCCACCTAGCGCGCACATAGTAGCTATTCTCTAAGGGGGTAGGAAAGCCGGCACACCAAATGACGAGTTGCAACGATGCAATTGCACTATTTCACTGCCACAGGTCGCGAAAGTAAGCTGTAAAAGGACGTCAGCAGAAGAGGAGATGAAGCCCCGACATCGTTTTGGTGTCGGGTTTACATCGTTTTGGTGTCAGGTCTACATCGTTTTGGTGACGGGGCTTCATCGTTTTGGTGTCAGGTCTACATCGTTTTGGTGACGGGGCTTCATCGTTTTGGTGTGAGGCTCACGTCGCACACAATCCAACACCTAGGCATCACGCATGGCGGTGTCAGCGCTGGAAGAGGGTCGCTCACGCCGAATGATCTCATCATCAATGTAGCGCTTGATCATTTGCCAGTCCCACGTGCCGTCGTCACGGAAAAACTGCTTGGTGATGAGCATCTCGCCTGTTAGAAGGGCACTTTCAATCAATGTCTGATACTCTTGCATCAAGTCATAGGCTTCCTTGAAGTTGTGCTTTGCCAAAATCTTGACAAGATTCTCAACGCGAGCATTTGCTTTGACACCGCTTTTGATTGCTTCCATGAGCTCCGAGTTCTCACGGTTGCCCAAGACAGAGGTAGGAACTTTTGCAAGCAACTCCTTGAACGCCTGTTCTGGGTTGGTCTCCATGATGGTGTAGAGTCCCTCAACCCTCTCTCTGGATGTCTTGGCAATGTCAACGGAATTGACGAACTTCTCGTGCGAGTAAGCATTCGCCTTTGCCGTAAGCTCAGAGTGCTTTTCAGAGATGAGATACTGCTTCACTTTGAGGGTTTTCTTCGTCTGCTTCGCACCGCCTTTGAGGGTCAGGAAGAGGTGGCACACCAGCTCATCATCATCAGTCACGTAGTCACTGACGATTTCTTCATTCTTCATCGTCTTGTCGAAACAGATGAGCTTGAAGTCATCAGTGCTAATGGTGCTTATCCCCGAGGCATCCCAACCCATCTTGCCGACAATAAAGTCTTTGAGACGCCCGACACTGTTGTTGATGGACGTCTTCATTGTAAAGAGCTTCTTCCCCTTGAACTCCTTGACGGTCACATCCACGGTGCGGTGAACTTCGCTAGGGTCTTCGTCAGGCAACGAGTCAATGATGTCAATAAGGTCTTCCTCGCTGAACTTCGGGCGCTCGGTGTCGTCGTCCGAGCCATCAGCCGAGCCATCGTCCGCTTCCTTGTTGGTCTCCTCGGTAAGCGTCGGGCGGTGGGCAGTGCCACCGAAAGGCTGATAGCCACCACTGCCACTGCCAGCTGAGCCACTTGCTCTCGTGTCAGTTGCAGTCTCGGGCACTGCCACCTCACGGAAGCAACCCAAGTGTGCCATGACTGCAAGAGGCGCGGACACTGGAAGCTGAAAGCACTTGTAGCAAGAGAAGGCTTCGGGTATATGCTTCTATTGCAAAAAACTACGTGGCACTTGCAATCTGAAAGCCACGGCATTTTTCCGCTTCAAGCCTTCGTCTGCTTCTAGTTGCCTTCGGCAGGAGCAACAACAGCCTTCGCTTTGGCTTTGGACTTCGGGGCAACAGGTGCGCTAGACCGCATGTAGCCTTCAATGTTCTGCACTATGCACATACCTCGCAGGCGATAGATTTCAGGATAGGTAAGGTCGTCAATCAAGAGAGGCGCGGCAGTTTGGTATCTGTCGCGCAACAAATGGACGACGCACCCCCTTCTCGGAATCACTGACGCAAGCCTTTTGGAGTTGTTATTCATCTGACCGATGCCTTCAAAGATGTAGAAAACGTGCCACCCTATACCGAATGCAGAGGCGATTGCAACTTTCAGGGCTTTGACTGTCCAGAACGGCTCGGCATTGATTGTGGCAAACTGGTCCTTGTATGTAGCCATCACAGTGAAATCAGGAGCATTGTGAAAGGCAAGTTGCTTCCTTGCTTCATACAGCTTCATATCACCATCCACAACGAACCGTTCAAGCGTCGCCTTTGACTCGTAGCTGGAAGGGAGAACCATGCTGTGTTGCCAGCCATCACGAATGACAAATGACAGAGCTTGGCTTCTACGAAGCTCAGCGAAGTAAAGTGCCTTGTAATCGGGCTCTGCGTCGGTCATTGCTTCAATCTATGCGAAGGGCTTGATGTTTCAGAGGCTTCGGATTGCAAGCTGTTTTTTGCTGGTGGCTTTCACTGTCAAGCCCTTGCGCACTCACTGGCAATCAGAAGCTCTGCTTATGGATAAACTCGCAAGGCACACGGTCTGGATGTTGTAGAGCACAAGCATGTTGTAGAAATCGGAAGAGCTTGATGCCCCGGTTCGCGGATAGGTTCTTTGGTAAGGTTTTTGGGGAGGGGGTGGTTTTTGGTTGGAATGGTGTTAGGGTATGTTGGTAAGAATGGTGTTAGGGTATATGGTAAGGATGGTGTTAGGGTATGTTGGTAAGATGGTTCTGTGGTGTGGTGGTAAGATGGTATGGTGGTGTGGTGGTAAGATGGTTCTGTGGTGTGGTGGTAAGATGGTATGGTGGTTGACGGTAGACCGCGAACTTAGGCGTGAACATCCCTAGCTGTTTTGTCTCTATACCCAAACACCTTAAACACCCTAATGCAAGCTGGCTCAAATTAGATTGTGGCTCAAACAGTGAGAATCATGAGCATCTGGCACATTTAAAAGGCACGGAACCAGCAAAGTCGCAGCACGCACCCTTCGCATTCATGCAGGAATGCCACCGTAGTGTTTCACAGCTTGTTTTTGGCTCAAAACCTGTTTTCTTTGTATACAGCAAGTTTTTGTGAAACCAGCTGGCGGCTCTATTTTTGAGCAGCGGTTCTATTTTTAACTTGGCGGCTCTATTCTGCTGATAATCCAGCGGCTCTATTTTTTAGATCCACGCGGTGGTCTGGGAAAGTACGTAAACCAAGAACACTGGATAGCGATAGCTACTTACTAACTTCCTAAGGCTTAGCTATATACATTATGTTGGTATA